TTTTTTGTACCAGGGATTGAGCTCAGGCCGTGCATGGCACCACTGAGCTAAATCCCCAGCCTTGACTTACTTTTTTATTATGGCAAAAATACATAAAATATTAAATTTACTATTTTAAACATTTCAATGTATAGCTTAGTGGTGTTAAGTATATACACACCATTGTGCAACTGTCCCTACCATCCACCTCTAGAACTCTTTCCTTAGCTCATAATGAAACTCTGTAGCCATTGAACAATAACTCCTTGTGTATCTCTCCTGCCTCTGAATTTGACCATTCAGCCTACTTATGTGAATGGTAAAATATTTGTACTTTCATGTCTGGCTTGTTTAACTTAGTACAATGCCTTCAAGGTTTATACATGTAGTATACATCAGAATTTTACTCCTTTTTAAGCCTGAATAACATCCCATTGTATATACAGTTGATGTTTTTCTTTTCCAATCAGGTGTTGGTGGACAAGTGGATTTTGTCTTTTGGCTATTTTGAGTAATGCTGCTATTAGCATGTAAATATCTCTTTGAGTTCCTGCTTTCAATTCTTTTGGGTAAATACTTAAAAATGGACTTGCTAGGTCATGTGATAGTTCTATGATTAATTTTGTGGAGAAATATGACACTGTTTTCCACAGTGGCTACACCATTTTGCAATTCTATCAGCAGTACACAAGGATTCCAAATTTCCCACATCTTTGCCAACACTTGTTATTTTCTGTGTTTTTACTAGCCACTCTTGTGAGTGTGAAATAGTATCTCACTGTGGATTTGATTTGCATTTCCTTAGTTATGCTGAGCTTCTTTTAATATATATATATATATATAACTATTGCTAAATTGTTAAGTAGTCCAGGCTGGGATCGAACTTGCACTCACTCTGCCTCAGTCTCTTAGAGCGAGGAGGGATTATAGAAGTGCACAACTCTGCCCAGCTAGCCTCTTAGTCGGGTATTATAGAGAAGTTTTGCTAAATACCTTTATTTCCCATTTCACACATTAATAGCTGAGCCAAGAAAACTGCATTTACAGAAGGGTCCCATCATGTACAGAAAACTTCTCTGCGCATAGTTAGGGCTTAACTGTAACACTGGCATCAGGAAACTGGATGATATGACACAGGGAAAGTAAAGAAAAACCTCCCCACCATTTTTTTTTTTTTTTTTTGGCTAAGGAGTTAGTAGAAAGGAATAGGAAGAAAAGAGAAAGTTTGTCCTGTGACTTCCCTCTTGGCATGGGATGAGGAAGATAGCTGTATTATAGCCATGAGAAGTAGCAAGAGCAAAACATGTAGCCATTGTCCATTTCCCAGTTGAGGGTTCTAGAAAGTGGTTCTCTTTGTTGCCCTTCAGTGCCAATTTAGCCATGTAGCAAGGTCCGATAAAGGACATCTTGTGGTTTTGTTTTCCCGTAGTGCTCCCAGTGTCCATGTTTTGTGGCGAGAGTGACGGGCGCGAGTCGGCTTTCCAGGTAGCCCTGCCCACCCTGCCCCGACAGTACTAGGTGGACTGCCAGGTGGTAGACTGGAGGAGGGATAGAGCTGTTGCACCTCTCCTGAAGCTAACATAGCAGGGGTGAGGCTGAATCATGCAGAAGCGCTACCAAGTCCTGACCAAACAGCAAGAACCCCCCGTTAATAATGGCTTTTGTCCTGGCAACCAGTAGCAAATTCCCAATGCACACCAGTGACCCCCATGAGACTAGAAGGCTCTTACTCCATTCCAAGAGGCCCCATCCACACTCTGATGATCAGATGCCAATTTAAGGAGAGAAGCAGGGGAAGGAAACAGTTGTCTGAAGACCAACATTGGCTACTTTATTTCCTAGGCCCTGGAAAAAATGAAAATGCAAGCCTCTTGTTCAGCAGGTAAGAATTCCAAGACCATGTCAGTAGAATATTGAACCAGGTATGGGTCCTTCTGAGTATAAGAAACCAGTCCAGCTGAGAGCTTAAATATTTTCTTTTCCCCCTGAAGATTCTCAATTGCCCACGAAATCAGTCCTGCCGAGAGCCTAAATATTTGTTTTCACTTGGAGATTGTCCATATTACTCAAAGGGATTCCTTAAATGGTCAGATTGGCTTAAATTTTTGAACCACATTGGGTATTTACTTAACTCTTCCTTCATTTGAAGAGTTGGACAAAATGGCAGATTAATTTGTGGCCAAGAAGTCATTACTGAGTTGGGTGTGAATTAAATTTGTCGTGCTACCGTGAACACATTGTCTCCCATTTATAGAAGAACTGATGATCAGAGATGTTAAACCAGTTGTTCTAGCTCATCCAGGTAAAACTGAGCAACTTGACGGAGAAATTGAGATTTAAATGAAAGATATGACTCCAAAAACTTAAATTTGCTTCCAACTGCTCTGTTATAGATGATGCCAAAGTCAAAGCTAAGCCTGGAAAACTGAACTTCAAAGCAAGATATCTTTTAAAATAGGTATTTGTTTTTGTACCAGGTATTGAATTTAGGACTTTGCACTTGTGAGGCAGGTGAGACACTACTGAGCTAAATCCCGGGGCCCCTTAAAATAGACTTTACCCTTAAGCTCATAGACAAAAGTATGCCCTATCATTAATAGCCTGCTCCCCTCCAGGGCATCTGGACGACTGGGCGATGACTTATGTTGCTGGATGGGGGGCCAGAGGCCTTGAGTGGACAAAGGCTAGGGCTGCTTGAAAGTTAAAATTTATAGGACAAATTGCTCTATACGAGTAAGAACGTTTCAATATTGTTCAATATTACGAGTGTGTCTGAGTCGCCCTCAGGTAGGTAGAAACCTGATTGTAATTTGCCGTATAGAGCCCAGTTACCTTTTGCATAGAAATTCACAATGCTTTTGCATGGTTTTGAAATGCTGAATCTTCCATGGCTACAGGTGTTGTGTAAATTGATGAAAGTGTATACTCAATTTGTTTGGCCTTTTGCTGAGAGTTGTTCTCTATTTTGGAACATCGTATTGTATAACAGCCCTGCCGCTTCTGGCATTTGACTCACCCGTGTGTGACATCTAAATCAGTACACATTGTGGATTCAGACTTCCAGCGACTCCACGTGGAGGCATTGATTAACTCCTGTCTTATGGTGCAGTCATGCCCGAACCAATTGGCATGCATAATTTACTATAAATTCCATTCTTGGCATTTCTCCTTTGTATTATAGTCAAGGCATTTTATCACAGTGTTGTTAAAAATTAGATGTGTATGCAAATTATCATTTGGTTATGAATTTCATTTTAAAACAGTAAAGGGAGAGTTGAAAACCACTGGCTACAGAAAGTGGTCTCATAGCTGAGAATTACTAAGGTCAGAGACATGAGTTTTTGGAATCAGTAGAGAGCAGATTGGTTTTTGCCCAAATACCTTGGAGTTATTTCATGTTCCCTGAAGGGATTGTTGGTTATGAGGACAATATTCCTGGATCTGTTGTAAAAGACTTACTAAATTTTTCAAGAGACTATATTCTGTGTGCTAGAAGTCAAGATGCCTGACCTAACTTACTCAAGGAGTTGGACGTTCCAGGTGACCTCATGTATTTTGTTTATGTTTTGTGCTCTTTACTAGAAAAGCTGTGCTTTTCATTTGAGGGAAAAATCTTGGCAGAAAATTGAGAAAAAAGTCTTCAGAATCAGTTTTATATTTTTCCTCTTGGGAAAAATATCCTTTGGAAGGTAAAGTAAGAACTGTGGGCAACACCGAAACATCAAAAGCTCCCTTTACTAATTGTCAGGAGAGGGCTGCGGTCAGGAACTTGGGGGAGGATGCCCCAACTGCTGAGTTTCCTGCAGGACCCCTTTCCCCGTGGAACCCAGGGCTCTGCCCTTTTTGTTGGAGAAAGTGCAATGCAGATGATAATTATTAGCAGTGCTGCTCTTGCCAGTCAACCATGTAAGAACTGTGGGGTAGGTCAAGAGCAGTGCTTTACTTCAGGCTTGAGACATCTTCCAGTAGGGATTTGTTCAGCTCTAGCAAGGCTGCTCTGCTTGATTTAACTTAGCCAGTTTCTCAGAGTGGCCAAGTTTTTTGTCTACACACTGGGTCATTCCATGTGCTGACCTCTATTACAGTCATTAGGGAAAAAAGCCTCTTCCCCCTCTTTCGTATCTTCTTTCTGTTGGATTTCATTCCTCTTTGCCTTGGTGGCTCTCAGGACTCTTGCATGCGCCCCCAGGACTTGCCCTTTAGTTTCCTTGGTCTTGGCCTGGATGATTGACCAAGGAGGGTAGAAGGAAGAGCGAGTTGCAAAGTGCCTGTGGCTCTTTCAGGTGGGTATCCGTCCCTCAGTATGGGCATTTAGTAGTGTTTGAGATGATTAAGACAGGGTATGTTTATGTGTCACTTTCCTAGGATGACTGTGGTTATTTATTGCAAACATACACCAATAAATGTGTAATAATAAAGTCTGAGAAAAGATCAGAAAGCCTGAGTGTAATCTTTTTGACTCCGTGTTCCACCTTCGAGACACACAGGGTGGGGGTTGGCCCCGAGGTCTAAGCAGCCCCACCTCATGGCTTGGGTGGGTGTAACTCATCTCCCCTCTCAAAGCAGAGAAGTTTGTGTGCCAGGCTTTCCCTGGGCCAGTGTTGCTTGCTGGTTCTATAAGTTTGGCTGAGGAGTTTCTCCCCAAATCTGTTATAGAAATTGAGCAGGAGCTAAATTTTATTCCTTGGGCTTATTTAATTTAATTTTTAAAATTTTGTGGCCTTTGCACGGAGCTCCATCCTTAGCCTTTTTTATTTTTCGCTTTGAGACAGGGTCTCAGTAAGTTGCCCACGTTGGACTCCAAGTTGCAACCCTCCTGCTTTAGTTTTGCAGAGAGCTGGGATTACGCCACCACTCATTTAGAAAGAACAGAAAGTTTCTGAATGCGCTTTGAAATCTCTCCCTGCTATGCCTTTCTGCCCTGAGATCTTTTTTCCCAGGAACTGCTGATCTGTCTCTGTTGATTTGGACTGTCACCTATTAGACATTTGGATTATTTCATAGTTTGATCATTTACAAATAAAGATATTGTGAACAGTTGTGCACAAGATTTTGTCCATGTAGACGCAGGCTTTCATTGCTCTTGGATAAATAGCTAGGATTAGAATGGCTAAATGATGTAGGTATATATTGTTAAGAAAATGACAAACTTTTCCAAAGTGCCTGTATCATTTGCAATTAATAATATATGGGTTCTAGTGACTTCATATCCTTACCATCTCTTGATGTGATTGGCCTTAATTTTTGGCTGGATCTAGGGTGTGTGATGCTGGGATCAAGGATGAAGTGCTAAGACTAAGGGAGTGAGTGCTGTCTGCCCTAAGAGCAGACAGCCTGGATAAAATAAGGCACAGAAGGAAGGTAGTTGATTGTTGCTTGTTGCTTGCTGCTTGCTGCCTTCTGCCTGCTGTGCTTTGCCACTGACTGTTTCTTCTTGGCCACACCCCTCCGTCATGCTTCGGAGCCAGCCACCTATGAACTGAAACCTCTGCAGACTGTGAGCTAAATAAATCTTTCCCCTTTAACTTTGGGAGTTGGGTATTTTGTCTCAGCAGTGAGAAAAGTAACTAAGAGATCTTACTAATGTCTATGTAACACAGAATTCCTGGAAGTATCAGTATTAAAATAATTAGTAAAACAAAGGCTGGGGATTTAGCTCAGTAGTGCTGCTGCCTGCCTTGAAAGTACAAGGTCCTGAGTTCAAGTCCTGCTAAAACAAGGATGCCTACTAATCACCACTTAAAAATTTGATATTATTTTGTAGGTTTTGACTAATGCAAATTTAGAATTATTTTGGAGGTTTTGGCTAATGTAATAAGGTATGAAACAGAAATTAGAGTCATATGCGCAACAAGATGATATTATTGTATTCACAGAATGTTATTGTGTACCTGGAAATTCCAAGAAAAATAAGGCATATACAATAAGGATTAGAAAATGAGCATTTGGTAAAGTAGCTAGACATATCTACAGTATTAATAACTAAGTAAAAATGTAGCAGAAAGCATCTCATTACTTCAGAAGATATAAAAATAGCTTAAAGAATTAACAGAACTTGCATGAAATATATTAATTCTTCTGAGAATAATAAAAAGATAAATAATTAAGAGACACACATTATTCCTTGACTAGTGTACTGAAACTAGAAAGAATACATTTTTGGAAAATTAATGTGTGTATTTATTATAAATTTAAAAATCACAATTGAAATTTTGGAAACAAAAAATATTGTCTTGGTCGTAAGGTAGATACATCAGTGGAATTCAGTAGATAAAATCGAAACTGGTCTCAGAAAAGAAGAATTTAATATACGTTAATGTGAAGGTTACAGGTCAGTTTGCAGGGAAGAATTATTAAAGGAGTTTGGAAGAATAACTTCTTGAATTTTTACTTTTTAAAAATCTTATTGAGTTTATTGGTACTTTTTAAGTATACAGTAAAGTTATATTCATCATTGGGATCTTGTACCTTTGCATGACACATCTTGGTTCTCATTTTTCCCCATACCCCTGCCCTCCCTTCACCCCCTCCACCTTCCCCTATTTACAAAGACTTTGTTTCCATTTTTTTCCTTTTCTAATATTTTCTTCTTCTTCCTTATTTCCTTTCCCTTACCCTTCCCACTTCCCTTACACCTTTAGCCCTTTTCTTCCAATTTCACATGATTGAATTTTTACTGTCATTTAGGCTATGGCTATGATAATAAAAAGAGTTTGGTTGTATTAGTCAGGATCAGGCAATGTTAGTTGAACAAACCATCTCCAAATCTCTGTGGTCCAACACTATGAAGGTTTATTTCTAGCACATATCACAATCCAATGCAAAAATCCCTCAAGAAATAAATCTTTTCCAAAAAGCGACTCAAGGGATCTGGGTTCCTTCCGTCGTGTGTCTCTAACTAACATCTGGGAGTCCTTAACTTTGGGAACAGGGACTGGTACACAGATGGCAGCAGAGTGGAGGAAGAAAAGGGAAGCTTTGGTGGGACATGTTGTCTTTCTCTTCTGTCTGTATTCCATTGGTCAGAACTTGCTTGTATGACCTTGAACTTAACTGCAAAGGAGACTGGGAAATGCAGTATTCCTGTGTTTTCAGGAAAGGTGTTGAGAGTGATGAACTCTAGTCAGTCTGCCATTGCCACTGATTTATTACTTCATTAAGAGTTACTCATTAACTCTTAAAACCCTTGTGGAACAAATACGGACTTTACAGTTTGGATTTTACCAATCTTTTTTTATAGCTTTATTTTCCTCCTTTTGAACACTCCTCTCACTTACTCCCCACATTCCAACAAAAATGACTTTTGTGCTCTGTTCCCTGAATACCTTTCATGCCTGTGTGGGTTTTGTAACTTAGCTAATGTGCAACTCTGTCTCTCAGAACCAACTTGCACATGTGGCTCTGCTTTCAGGTTGGCTGCAGAGGTTTGGCAGGTGTAAGAGTTGCAGCAGGCTCCGTGCTCAGGAGGGCAGTGCAGGGCTCAGGGCTGGCTTTCTTGGTAGGTGTGGGGTGGCCGCTTGCCCTAGAGATCCTCCACTCTTTCTGGGTTTTGCTGTTCAACTTTTTCAAGCTCTGGGCCTGAAATGAGTGCCTTCTCTGGGGAAGGATAGATACACCTGCACTGTCAGAGGCAGTGTGTCTTTGTTCCAACTTGGCCACAAGGTTCTAGCTTGCCTTCACAGGTCACAGTTTGCACTTGCTGTCATGTGACTTATGTCTGTTTCATTTTCCCATCTGCCAGACCCACTGACCCATGGTGACCTCACATCACGCACTGGTGGCAGAGGCAAGTGTCTTCCACTGCATTCTTCACCAACTCCCATTTTCATCATCTGCGGTGACTTTTCCTGCTTCTTTATCCTTCTCCTTCTGCACTTTTACTTCTCTAGTTTCTTCTCTAATGGTGTAGGGTTATTCTCTACAGTAAATCTCTTACTCCATACCTACCGTAGTGATTTTGCTTGCCCAGTTGAGCCCTATTTAATAGAATGTCTCTTTGTCTTTGTGGGTGTGGCTTCCTCTACCGCCAAAGCCTTTCTCTTCCTTTCTCTGTTGGGTTGCATTCCTGACTCAACCCAGGATTTCTCAAATGTGGCTCTGGTCTTAGTGTAACACTAATCCTCGGAAATTCCAGAGGATTCTTGAACACATTTCTGTTAAGAACTTCTGCTGTTTTATATCTCTACTAGTGTCATTGTATCTCCAAACCCTAACACAACATTTTGCTCATAAAAGGTACTTAAAATGTGTAGAATAAATAAATGGAAAAGCATAAATATTTTAAAAGAACTCTTTAAAAACAATCTTGAATTTTTATCTTTGAAGAAAAGTAGATTTAATTGGAGAAAATATCATTCTTTAGTAATAGTCTTGAATTTCCAACCTTGAGGATAAGTACACTGAGTTTCTTAGTGTTGTTGAATAAACATACAAAGGTTTACTGATTATTTTTGCAGAGCTCATACTATGGAACTATATCCCTGCCCAAATTTACAGAATTTTAATGACTTATTTTGGATTATGTAAATCATCAAGACCCATGTCTCCTAAGTATTTCAAGCAAGCTGTGGATTTTGGTGTATATCCTAAAAGGGATTCTGGGACAGCTAATATTTCAAGAGTGAGAGTAAGATTAAAAACAGCTTAGCAATAATGTAGAAAAAAATCTCTAACATAAAAGCTGCACTACTTTAAGAAAACTTAAAAATATTGAAATAACATGCATTTCTGTTAGATAGATAAAGTGAATCTATCCTGGTAATCTCATGACACATTGTACCTTCAATTTTTTTTGTATTGGGGCTTGATCCTAGGAGAAGTCTACCACTGAGCTATATTCCCAGCCCTTTTTATAGGGAACCTCTCTTTACATATATTTTTGAGACAGGATTTTGATAAGTTGCTTAGTGAGGCTTCAAACTTGTGATCTTGACTTAGGTTTCTAAGTAACTGAGATGTGTGCTGCCATGCCTGGCTTTGCTGTTAATTCTTGTCATCCATCCATTTATTTATGATGTGTTTGTTGAGTATCTGTTACAGGTTTTGTGCTGGGTATTAAACAGATAGATACAGATAGATAGGAAAGACATTTTCACTCTAGGAGTTTGTTGTATAGCTGCAGATTTGGGTTGAGGAATAAAACACACACACACACACACAATGTACACTAATGGTAGAAGTATGTGTTCTTTATTGTCATGAGTGGCACCATCCTTGCCATTGTGTTATCTTTCTTCAATTACAGTGGCCCAATCCTGCAAACTACATTTCCCAGACTCCCTTAAGAACATGGTTCTGCCTGGAGTTTGCTAATGATGAGCACTCAGCTGAGATTCAGAAGGCAGATGGGCAGGAATAGCCATTTTTTAACGCTAGGCTTGCAGTCATCAGCAGATGGCAGATATGGGTTCCCCATGGTGACTGAGCATCCTCCTGAGATTATGAGCTTGCCTGTTTCTTTCTTGCAGGTGTCTCTGGGATCCCTGAACTTAGACTTGTCCAGAAATGACATTGTAGACCTCTGATCCCTAGCCTTCCAGCAGTGGTATAAGCCTCTATTTTCATATATTAAACTTTTTCTTCCTAAAAGCTCAAGTGTGGCTTCTGTCTTTTATGTCAAACCCTGAAGGACATAGGATAGTAGAAGTTCCCAGTGTCTGAGAACCCCGTTTTCACAGCCCTGAGGCTGTTGTGTTCCATGGTTTGTTTACTCTGACAGCTAGGAGGGTCTGACAGTCTGTAGTGACACTGAATTGTGAAGGACAAAGTACCATTTGGGTGGACCTAGGATGCAGTGTTTCCCCTGAGATTGGGACCTACTAACTGAAAGTCATGCTTTGGTTTGGTCTTTTTCAAAATTTTATCCCAACTATTGGGAATATTTGTTTCTTGACAATGGCAAATCCTTATATTTTCTTTCTATGTATACTGAAATTGTGGACTAATTGTTGGCTAGTATAATGTACCAGCAACAGGCCTTTTAATTATAATACCAAAAAAGTAATGTGAATTAAAATGCTTAATTTTAAAAATGAGAATGGATCAAAGCTTAAAATAAAGGAAATTTTTAGGTACACTAGAAGTAGAGAAAAGTCAGAGCTAGAGTGGCAAGGGGGAAAGTTTAGATTTGGGGATGATGAAGTAAGATGTCTTTTTTTTTTTTTTTTTTTTTTCCCGA